GAAGATCCCCATGGAAGGCCTCACCCTCCCTGGGGAACAGAAAGGGAATGGGATGAGGGTTGGGAGGGGAACAGGGGAAAAAGGGGGACTGTGGGAACTAGGATTGGTATGTAAAACAAGCATGTTTCACATTTAAATTTAAAAAATATTATCATATTAAAAAAGAGATAGATAAGTATGTCGCCTTACTATACATACTTTGTGCCTTACACTGTGTATAAACTCATTCAAAATAAAAAAGAAAATATACTGAGTAAGCCATGGGAAACAAGCCAGTAAGTAGTAAGTTTCTCTTCTGCCGCCTCTGCCTCAGTTTCTGCCTCCAGGTTCCTACTTTGAGTTCCTGACCTAATGTCCCTGGATAATAAACTAGGTAAAATACCCACCCCACCACCCAGAATTGGTTTTGGTAATGGTGTTTTATCACAGCAATGGTAAAATATTTTTTGTAACACCACAAAAGCAGGGGATAGAAGGCTGAGCATTTCACATGCTAGGAAAGCACACTGTACCACTAAGCCACACCCACAGCCCTGATGCTGGTTTTAATACTTTGAATGATTTCACCATCAAGTTTATTAGTGGCTATTGGTTTGTAAGAGATAATTCTTTCCTTTCTTCGGTAGGTCCAGCTCTCTCTGGTTTGTTTACAGGACTGTGAGTACCAGGTGTGGACACTGTAGACAGTCTACTAAGCCTCTATGATGAGATGAGGTTTCTCTATTTTTTTTCTCAACCAATGTGCTGTTAACAGATTTCATTCCTGGGATAAGCAGGATTGGTTAAGATCCTGACATAGTCCTAGTTGAGAGCCTTGGCTGTCCTGCAATCCATTATGTAGATCAGCTGCTCTCAAACTTCGTATAAATCCTGCCATCTTTGCCTTCCCACACCTACCAGAGATTCTTTTTTGTTCATCTCTCTCTCTCTAATTGAAGTAGGGATTATACAAGTATCTCTCTTGAGGATATCTCCTCTCCTACCAGGGCTTCATCATAGGCTCAGGATTATGGCAGGTACTCAGAAGAGAAGCAGAAAGAAGATGTGGTCCCAGCCTTTAAGGAGTTGATAATATGGTAGAGAGACAGGCCTTAGAAGAGATGCTGCTGCTATGGAATAGTAGGAGCTGTGGCAGTGGGATGTATAGATAGGGCAGAGGAAAAGTCTTCCTGGTACAGGTCACACATAGCAAGTCTGCATGTTCACAGAGCTGTGAAGTTGTGTGATATTTGCACTGTATGTCAACTGAAAGAACGAGGTGGCAGCAGGGCCAGCTCAGAGGTATAGCAGGAGCCAGTTCATGGAAAGTTCTACAGACTATGCACATTGAAAATCTGGACACAGCTCAGCTGGGTGCTCTGCACCTGAGTTTCTCACAGGGCGGTGAGCAAGTGTCAGTCATGTTTGAGGTTTCATCCCAAGGTTCCTTAGGCAAAAGTGGAGATAGCTAGGGGCCACCTCACTTTCTTGTTCTGAAGACTTCTTCATAGAACCACTTATCATGTGGCAGAGGGCTTCATCAAGCTTTTCACACAATCATGTGAGAAAAGTCCAAGAGGGCAAGCAGGATGGGGGGGACAGTTGTTTTGTAACTTACTCCCCAAAGAGACACCCTGCCACTTCCTCCCTTAGAAACAGGTCATGAGCCCCAGTTCACATCCAGGGGACAGGATCATACAACACTATGAATAATACCTAAGGATGGGGATGACTGGGCATAAGATTAGGAGTTGCCTCTTAAAAATTGGGAGGTGTAAAAACCACAATGTGGGGCTGGAGCAATGGCTCAGTAATTAGGAGCTCTTACTGCTCTTACCTAGGTTCAGTTTCCAGCACCTACATGGTGACTCTCAACCATCCATAACTCTAGTTATAAGGGATTTGACACCCTCTTCTGACCTCCATGGGTGCCAGGCACATGTGGTGCACATACATCCATGCAGGCAAATACTCATACACATAAAATAAAAATAAATCTTCTTCTAAAACCTCCCAATGCAAGGGTTACTATATGAAGCCTAGAGCCTGCAAGGAAGCAGACTTGAGCATGTTTGGCAACTGAGGATGTTCATCAGGCTTTGCAAGCTAGCAAGTAAGCAGGGTAGAAGCCAGTCCCTTTATTTGCCTGGGTTTATGATACACAGAGACACACCTGACTGCAACTTCAAGGAAGTTTAACTACAATGGAGCATTGAGAACCATAGAAGGCTAAGCTCCCAAGTACAGTTACAGTTACTTCTCTGCCTTGTCTCTCCCTGTTGTACAGTTTACATAGATATGATGCTACGTACACAGTAAGCATTTTATAACTTAGTAAGTGTTGGAGTCAATGCTGATCCTCTATCCTCTTTGTTCCCAGGAATATCACAATGTGGTTATATCTACAGGTCAGGGGGATAATGAGAATTAGTGAGACTGGCAGAATTTGAAGGAAATAGTAGCAATGAAGAGCAAGAGGAGCTACTTCAAGGGGGCAGCTTTTCCCCCCATTCAGCCTACTGTCCAATGAGATTATGTGCCCATCATGGCCAGAGGAGTCTCACTGATGCAAGTCAGGTCGAAAATATGTATGTTTGCATGAAATTGTCCAGCTCTAATTTTTCCCTGTTCCCATTTTCCGTGTGTATGCGATGTGCATGGTTTTTGCATGTTCATGGTAGCACAAGTACATGTGGAAGTTTGAGGTTGGTGTCAGGCGTTATGTTCAGTCTCTCTTTCTCCCTATTGATTGGTCTTTCAATCAGGACCAGAGCCTGCTACTGATGCTAGTCTTGCTCTGTCAATCTCCTGTCTCTGCTTCCTAGGCTGCAATTACTAGTGGGTCATCTCATCTACACTTGACATGGGTTCTGGAGATTCAAACTCTAGTCCTCAGAGTTGGGCACAAGCAGTTTAACCATCGAGTTATCATCCTAGCCCTGGAATTTTCCAGCTTTAAATTTCGGCACATGAATTTAAAAATGTATTTAATATGGTGTGAACCACTGCTGTGTGGAGAATTGAAACATACCAAGACCAATCCTGCCTCTCATTTCCCTCATAGCCACGTTGTTGGTAACAGCTCCTCTCTGCTTTGCTCATCATCTTTGGAGGAGACATACAGTGAAGGTCCAGGGTATATTTTCAGTGTTGTCCTAGAGAGAGAAGAGAAAAAACAGGCCCTTTTCTCTGTGTCACATAACTTGGGACTAGAACTTCAGTTTTATTCAAAAGATTCAATATTTGACAAAAAATATGTCCACAGTGTAGAGCTTTAGAAAAATGGAGCTGGGCATGTGGCTCACTTGGTAGAATGCTTGCCTAGCATGCACAAAGTCAAGAAAGCATCAGCACCACATTTTAAAAAAAGCCCTGGTGACCTACATAGGTAACTCAGCACTTGGGGGTGGAGGCAGGGGGATCAGAAGTTCAAGGCCAACTTCTGCTACCTAGTGAGTCTAAAGCCAGCCTCTATTAAAAGAAACCCTATTTTTTTTAAAAAAATAAATTTTAAGGGGGGAGGAGCATTTTTATTTCAGTTCATTGTAGCATTGTGCTCCTATTAAAATAATAATGTGGGCCATTAAATCTACATCATCCCTGTACTCCAAAGAAAAATCATCCTTGGTGACTTTACCTGCCTCTTAATGGAAATGTCTTTTGCCCCACTTCCCACTTTATTTTCAGACACGGTTTTACTATGTAGACTCACAGAGATCCATCTGCCTCTGCCTCCCAAGTACTGGGATTATGTGCCACCATCACCCAGCTGAATATTCTTATACAGTACTGATTACACTGGTGTCCAAAAAAAAGTAGTTTAAACAAAAGGTATTTGTTATTCATCATTAAAGCCAGTGGTAAAGTGTGTTATGTTTCTCATTCTTTATTCTGACTGAAGGGAGCTGGGTAATAATTATTGTGTTTCGTATTTACTGACATGACTGTATACATTGAGGGAATGTAGTATATATTTTTGTATGTGTACATATTTTTGAATAATGAGATCAAGCTAGTTAACATCTCTATCACTTCACACACCATTTATTTGTGGTGAGAACATGTAAAAGCTACTCTTCAAACATTTGGAATAGATGCTACTATTCACTATGGCCACCATGCTGTGCAATAGCTCTTGAAAATGTAACTTCTCTATGTAACTGAAACTGTGTGCTCTTGGACCACATCTCCCTGGTGATAGTTTTTGACTTACAGACTTCCTATTCCTTTTCAACAAAAGTGAAAGAAACACTAGTATGTTTAGAAGTTGACAAGAGCAGGCAGGAGAGATAGCTCAGCAGTTAAGAGCACTGACTCCATGCTCCCTGAATTGTTGGATATGTCATTTCAGTGATTGAGGGAGGACCCCTAGAACACAACTACCGACTGAAGCAGTTTCATTTTCACTGGGGGGCCATTGATGCTTGGGGTTCCGAGCACACTGTGGATAACAAATGTTACCCAGCAGAGGTATGTTTCTTTCCTTTCATTCTTTTTTTTTTTAAACTCAGGGTCTTCCTATAGTCATTGATGTCCTGGAGATCGTTTTGTAGACCAGGCTGCTTTGAACACACAGAAATCCTGCTGCCTCCACCTCCTGAGTGCTGGGATTAAAGGTGTTCAAACCCAACTTGAACACCAGAAGCATGTTGAATATAAATAAAAAAAAAGAGCAATAGGTGTGAAAAAGTGGGCATAGTTCTGAGGTTTCTCATTCAAAGAAATTACGAAGAAGTCTCAGGTGATGCATTAAAGCCTATTTAGGTTGCATGGTCCATACTTGAACCTTCCCATCTTACACATGCAAAAATTATATCTACTCTAAACAGTATACATGAAATAAACCTTAAGATGATAAAACTGAATTCTGGGGCTGGAGAGAGGTCAGCAATTAGGAGCAGCTCTTGTCAGAGGACCTGGGTTCAGTTCCCCACACCAGAATGGTGCCACAACTATTTATAACTCCAGTCCCAGGGGATCTGATGCCATTTTCTGGCCTCAGCAGGGACCAGGCATATACATGATACACAGACATAAATGCAGGCAAAACACTCAGAAGTATAAAATAAATAAATATTGAAAATTAGAACAGAATTCAGTCTGAATTCTGAGCTAGGTGCAGTTTTTCCAATAGCCGCAAGCTATTATAGAGCTGTGAGGCTGAATTAATCCAAGTGGGAAATAGTGGGAGCCTAAGTGAAGGCTGTGGCAAAAGAGAGAGAAACAGGAAGATGATCAAAGGGTTCTGAAATCAAAGTACCAAAGCACCAGAACTTGCAGCTGGGCTCCCTTTCAAGAGGGGCAAGCTAACTAGGACCTTGAAGAGGCTCACTTGGGAGGTTAGGGGATGGTAATGCAGTGGTTTGAGAATGAAGAGTAAGGAATGATTGGTATGGAAATGCAAGCAGAGCACAAGGAAATAGAATTTCTCTTTGCAAATAGAATTTCTTCTTGCAACTTTTCCCTTAATTTAGTTTTAAATGTGATGCTAAAAATGAAAACATTTTAAGTGATCATCCCTCCAAGAAGAAATTTGTCTTTGGCTCCCATCTAATTTTCACAGGGAGAATGCATTTCTCTTAATATAAACATCTTTTCTCCTTTAGATGCAAATGGATGTGGGATATTAGTATTTCATGCAAATCAGGATAGGAATGAAGAAAATGTTATTCCGTCATTGCAGAGTTACTTTGCTATGTGAATTTTATTTTTTCTTCCCTCTCAAATCCCTCTCTTCTAAAGTAATGTCACTGTTCTTGCCACAGTGTTTTCTTCCCATTCTTTATGTCGATCTCCTTTAGCACCACATTGCCATATACTTTTCTTGGTGGCTCTGTTTTGGGTGATAAAACAAGGTTAAATGTTACACATTGGATGAGGCTGTCAGTTTATTTTGGTGCAATCCTACATGGTCATGTATAAACCTCACTCTTAACTTGTTTCAGTTGCACTTGGTGCATTGGAATGCAGTCAAATTTGAAAGCTTCGAGGATGCAGCACTGGAAGAAAATGGTTTGGCCGTGATAGGTGTATTTTTAAAGGTAAAAACAAAAACTCAGGCTGGGCATGGTGGCAATCTTTCATCTCAGCTCTCAGGAGGCAGGGACAGGCAGAACTCTGGGACTTCCAGGCCAGCTTGGTCTACATCATGAGTTCTAGGACAGACAGGCCTATATCGAGAGATCCTGTCTCAAGCAAGCAAACAAACCATCTCACCAAGTTCAAATGATATATTGTATCACAACTGAAAAGATAAAACAGTACAATATAAGTTAGTTATTTGAAAAAAAAATAGAATTAAAAGGAAAGAACTATCTGTAGAGATTGCTTAATGGTTAAGAACATGGATTATTTTTGTAGAGGATCCCAGTTCAATTCCCAGTACTCACATTCACCAACTTATTCCTGCCTATAAATCCAGCTTCAGGGGTATTGGATGCCTTCACTCAAATGTACATTAACCCTCCCTATGCTTGTGCATGCTCTCACACACACAATAGCACATGCCTTTAATCTCAGCACTCAGGAGGCAGAAAACAGGTGAATCTCTGAGTTTGAGGCTAGCATGGTCTACAGAATGAATTCCAGGTCAGTCAGGGCGACACAGAGAAAACAACAAAAAAGAATATTGGAATCAATAGGAGAGGGGAGGAGGAGGAAGGGGAAAGGGGGAGAAATATAATTAAAGTATATGATAGATGTGTATGGAAATATCACAAGGAAATTCATCATTCTGTATAATTAATATTTTAAAAAGAATATTAGTACCAGACTGAGTGTGTTGGCACACACGTTTAATTTCCAGTACTCAGGAGGTACAGACCTGTAGATCTCTGTGTGTTTGAGATCAGCCAGGATAGTGAGACTCTGTCTAAAAGTATATGTTTTACATATAGATGGCAAAAATAAAGTAGTTAAAATAAATAACTATTATGAATATATTTCATATGGTATAAAAATGTGGTTCAGGGGCTAAAGCAATGGCTTGGTGGTCTAGAGCACTTGCTGATCTTGTAGAAGACTGATACTCAGTTCCCAGCCTGCACATCAGGCTATTAACAACTGCCTTTATCTCCAACTTCATTGGACGCGACACCCTCTTCTGTACTCCATGGACATCTCCCCAAGCATGCACATATCCTTACTCAGACTTACTCAGACATACATACATACATACATACATACATACATACATACATACATACATAAGTAAAATAAGTCTTAAAAAATACACAGCCAAATAAAGTAGACACAAGTCTCTGGGGCAAGTGAGCACTTGAAATATGCTTAGTTTGGGAAGTTGAGGCAAAAAAGTTGAAAAGTTTGAGACCAGCCCAGGCTACAAGGTAAGACCCCCCCATCTTGGGGGAGGGGTTAGTGAAAATGCAAGGTAATATACAATTTCATCAATTTAAAATTCAGTGTAAGAAATGATACTTAATGGGAGCAGGAGGCACATTTTTTTTTCCTATAGACTCGCTGGTCTTGCCAGCAAACAGCCTGTTCATTTTGTTCTAATTTAATTTAGTGATGTTTATAATATTTGTAATTACCAGCTGAAATCCAGTTTCAGTCCTGCAGTTTGTTTATATGCAACCACCAGGTGGTTAATTTTGATTCACATTCTATTTGAGTTTCTACAGTGAGATGGTCATTGTATGTAATATTTCTTCTTCTTTTTTATTTTTTTAGCTAGGTAAACATCATAAAGAACTACAGAAATTGGTGGACACTTTGCCATCAATTAAGCACAAGGTAATTTTACCCTTACATCACTTGAAGTATATTTTATATTTGACTCTCAGAGTAGATAATGAACTTTGAAGCAGGAGGACAAATAAATGAGCTGCATTCAAGTCTCTTTCGGCACTGCAGGAGGAGACTTGACATGGATGAGGGTGTATTGATGCTGATCAGCCTTTCGTTAAACACTGCAGGGCTCAGGAGAAATTACTCTGGTGGAGCTTTCTGGTTTTGCTCAGTACCTGTTGACCAGGAATCTACTCTGTTCCATTTTTGACTTCTTTTCTGTAGCTACCTCCCACGAGTAGGCAGGGAGAAGAGTTTTACAGAAATGTAACTTGTCTAGAAGTGAAGAACTCTATGTCCTCTGTCCAACTGCCAAGATGAATTCCTCAATATCAGAACCCCATAGGGGCTTGCTTCCTGGAAATCAGTACACCATTCTTCTGTTCTTTGTCTTCTTATTCCCCTCCTCTCTCACTTCCTGTCTCCTTCTTAATCTCTTTCTCCTTAGTCCAGGATTTTGGAATTTACGTCCTTCTTTCCTTCTTTCCCTGCTTCCTCCCTCCCTTTCTTTTCATTGCAGTGCCAGGATGGAACTCAGTGCCTTGAGCATACTAGGCAAGCTGTCTACCACTGAGCTACATCCTCATCTACACACTCATCTCTGTGCTAGCTTGAAAGGACAAATCTGTATTAGTTTCTCTTGGAGAAGCCTCTCTGTTTATGAGCAGCTACTACCTAATACCTCTAAACAGAATTGAAAGAGAAAGTGTTTTTGCTGTTTTCCTAGGGAGAACTATTAGAAATACACAGTGTGATTTTGTGTTAAGTAGTGATAACTGTTTCAGAAGCTATCCAGGGTCTCTGGATCTCCCCTGAACCACTGTTGGTCCCTGGACACTCCATTAGAATCACTGCCTCACCTTCTAATACCTGAGTGACTTTAACCAATAAATAATAATTCAGTAACTCCTTCTCTTGGACAGGATACCCTGGTCGAATTTGGATCATTTGATCCTTCCTGTCTGATGCCCACTTGCCCAGATTACTGGACCTACTCTGGGTCTCTTACTACACCGCCCCTCTCAGAGTCTGTTACCTGGATCATCAAGAAGCAGCCAGTAGAGGTTGATCATGATCAGGTATTCCTTGTACATTTTCCATCCACAGAAACGTTAGTCTGCCTGTTCAGGCTGGGTTCATACCACTACATCATTTTTGCTTGATTGCTTGCTTGTTTTTTGAGGGGAGAAGTAGGGTATCAAGTAACCAAGGGTGGCCTGGAACTTTAAATGAACTAGTTTAGTGCTTGTTATATTGTTTTGTGGTGATATGGAATTGAACTCAGGGCCTTGCACACACTTGGCAAGCATTTTGAACTATATCCCTAGCCTTAGCCAGGAAAAAGACTTAAAGCATAAGAGGACATAATTATCTGCTTCTGTATTTGCTTGTGAATTATGTGCTTCCTCTGGAACTGTGAATCTCTATTTAAAATCAAGGCTCAGGTGAAGGGAAGAGTGAAATCTGGAAATGTGCAGAGCCTGTATAATTCTTAAGGAAATTCTGCAATAGAAGCCCAAGAAACTAACAGTGGCTATGGAGAATATTGAATATTATTTAAACCTGTAGTCTTATATTTGCTTAGAAAATTAGTTGAAGTGATGATTACTATACCTATAAACCAAGTCTTGTTCAGTTTACAACTAAAATGCATTAATATTTGCCCATGAGCTTGGGATTTAGCCTAGTCCTGGGTTCAATCCCCAGTAACTCCCTACACACACACACACACACACACACACACACACACAGAGAGAGAGAGAGAGAGAGAGAGAGAGATATCAAACCACACACATACACAAGAAACAGATAATTTCCAATATTTTTCATACTTGCTATATGGGATGTATATTGATTGCAAAGCATTTTCACAAGAAACAAACAAAACCTTCCAAACTTTTTAATGAAGCCAATATAACTGACACCACCAATGATGACCTTACCAAAGTAAACTTTGGCCAGATAGAAAAGAAAAGGAGGTAAAATAAAATATTAGAAACAGAATCCAGCAGTGTATTAGAGGCAGAGGGATGGTTGTTACTGTTAATTTTATTTATATGTACATGTGTGTCAGTTGAGTGTATACCACTTGGGTGTGGGTACTTGTAAGAAGTGTCTGATCCTCTGGAGCTATAGTCACAGTTTGTTATGAGCCAACTACTGTAGGTCCACAGGACAAGTCCTAAACACTCTTAACTGCCAACCTATCTCTCCAGCCCCAGATGTATTACATTAACACAATTCATGTTATCGGTGACTCTGCATAGAAAAGCAATATTAACATTTTCAGAATTATTTTTTCTTTTCCTTTTTGTTTGTTTGTTTGTTTTGTTTTGTTTTATTTTTTCTAGTCAGAGTTTTCTAGTCAAGCCGTCTGTCTTGATCCCTTGTAGACCAGGCTGACCTTGAACTCACAGAGATCTCTCTGCCTCTGGCTCCTGAATGCTGGAATTAAGGGTATATGCCACCACTGCCCATTGAGATTCTATTGTATTAAATGGTACTGGGAATTGAACCTCAGGCCTAGTGCATGCTAGGCAAGCAGTCTACTGCTGAGTCACATCCTCAGTCCTCATTTCCACTGATTCTTAAAAGACATCTGTAAGTCTTAACATTTTTATTAAAGGAATAGAAATAGACGCAGTTTATTAAGAGAAAGTACTACTCCCCCTAAAGCCTCTATTTTGTTTTAGTTTTTGTTTTTTGAGACATAGTCTATGTAGCACTGTTCTAGATTTCACTATGTAGACCAGACTGACCTTAAACACCCAGAGATCCTCCTGCCTCAGCCTCCTGAGTTCTGGGATAAAAGGCATATGCCTCCATGCCCAGCTCTATTCTATCCGTAATAATTTGTAATGAAATACAGATGAATAGAGACATGCTTACCATGGCCAATTCATCTTAGTTCAAAAGTAAATACAGGAGCTAGGGAGATGGCTCCACAGTTACAAGTACTTGCTGTTTTTCCAGAGGACAGATGCTCAGACACAAGCATTCATGTCAGACAGTTCACAGCCACCTGTAACTTCTGTTCCAGGGGAAAGAATGTCGCCTTCTGGCCCACATAGATACCACACATGACTGACTCTCTCTCTCTTTCTCTCTCATAAATAAAAAAAAATAAATTAAAAAAGTAATTACAGTCATCCACTGGTAGCTATGGAAGACTGGTTCCAGAACCCCAAATTTATAAAACATGCAAAATATCTGTACAATGTTCAATAGAAGCAGTTTCCTGGCTGACCTAGAATTCACTGTGTGGACCAAGCTGTCTTTGAAATTACAATGATCCTCCTGCTTCTGCCTCCTGAATACCAACAGTATTTTTCTAACATTTATGTGGAACCCATGAATATAGAATACCAATAATTGTGTTTTATATGAAACTAAAATTTGTTTCATGTAGCCTACTTTGGCCTCCAACTCACTATGTAGCTAAGGATGACTTTGAACTCTTGATCTTCCCACTGCCTCCCAAATGCTGTGATTACAGGTACACTCCACCATGCCCACTGGAAATAACTGTTATCATAGTGAATGTTATATTCAATTCTAGTCTAGAATTATCTATGTACTGTACATGCCTACAGTCCTAGCTACTCAGGAGGCTGAGGCAGAAGGATTGCTTTAGCCTAGCTGTTCAAAACTGGGATGAGCAATATACTAGGACTAATCCTTTCTCTTAAAAGATATATTATGCAGCTGGGTATGCTGGTGTATGTCTTTAATCCCAACACTAGTAAGGCCCTATCTCAAAAACAAATGTCGTAGAAATGGCCCATATAATCAGATCAAAAAATGAAACTAAGTGAGGAAAACAGTTAAAAAATACAAAAATAAAATAATTTTGCAGTTGGTAAAGTATAATGTTAATATATAGAAATAAAAATGTATATCAAATGTACGCCAGTTAAAAGACATAATGATACAAAGATATAATAAAAGAAAGTCATACATATGATTAGAATAAAACTAAAAAATACACTTGAGTTGTTTGAACAAGGAATGCTAAGAATAAAACTTAAAATCTTCCAGGATACAGAAGACTTAATTAACTTCATACTCTATTAATGGCCAGGAAGACATTGTAACGTTTTCCATAAATTGTTTGTTTAGTCTCCATAATTTAATGTAGCTCCAATAAATAATGCCAGTAGGACTTAAAGAGGACACATTACTTTTAAAATGTTTTATTTTAAAATTTTTATGTATATGAGTATTTGTCTATATGTATATGTGTATACTGCATGTATGACTAGTTCCCAGGGAGACCAGAAGAGGGTTTGAATATCCTGTAACTGGAGTTATGGATGGTTATGAGTCTCCATATGAGAACTTACTGGGAGCTGAATTCAGGTTCTCTACAAGAGCAGAAAGTGATCTTATCCACTGAACCATCTCTTCAGCCTCATTTTCATCTGTCTTTAATTGGTGTATGTGCACACTCACACAGAAGCCAGAAAAAGGGTGTCAGATCCACTTGAACCTGAATTAGAGACAAGAGTTGCTCAGTATGTGTGCTGAGAACTAAATTTGGTTCTTCTATGAGAATAGCAAGCACCCTTAACCACTGAGCCATCTCTCCAGCCCCTGAAACATAAATTTTAGTCAAAACACATATGCATAAATAGCCAGGGAGATTTCTAAAAGAACAAAGAAGGAGTAATTAGATTCACAAAACTATAAAGATTCAAAAACTAAATGCCATGGTACTAGCACAGGAATAATACAAACAATCAAGAAAAGTGTTTAGAAACAGAAATAGAGCCAAAAAAGACACACACAGAGGGAGAGGGAGGGAGAGAGAGAGAGACGGAGAAAGTGCAGGAGGGGGCAGGATGAAGAGAAGGAGTGGAGAGGGAGGGAAGGAGAGAATGAAGGAAGGAGGGAAGGGAAGTGGGAATGAATTAGACTGGATTCTCTTGAGCAGGGCATCTTATGCTCATGTGATTATGGAGATTGAGATGTCTTCTGGATTGTTTTCTACTACTGAAGAACCAGTTTCAGCAGGTCAGAGGAACTGGAGAGGAGATATGGAGTCGGCCACTACTAAACATATCCATAGAAGGCTTATCTGAGGAGGCATAACTTAATTGTCCATCTTATTTTCCTATTTCTGCTTCCTCTGCCTCTTTATTTTTCTCATATCCCTTTATACCACGTAAGCCAAAATTTTCTATGCAAGAAAAGATTACCTCAGAACCACAATTACATATTTTCCAAAAACAAAATCTTTACAAGGAAGAAATCACATTATAATCACAAGTCACATGTATTTCTTAGAAGCACACAAGTAGTTAAACATTTTTCTTTGTGTTATTTTTTCCGCCCTAACATCTTCATCCCTAAGCAATGATTCCTTCATTATTTCTGAAGTTCTAAGTGTGTCAGTTCCTTTGTACTGACATGCAGCTGTTTGTGGTTTCAGTGTAGCAGATTCCTATAAGAAACGTTAAACAAGTGCTCAGCTAACCATCTAGTTTTCTTTATACACAATAGGGTCATTTAATTTCCTTTCACAACTTTGTTTTCAAGTTGCATACCGAAACCTGTGATTAATTCTGTAAGCTACAAGACCAAGGAACTCAGGCCTGACCTTGGGTGCAGGGACATAATTGCCTCTTTGATCATCAGCCTTTTATTCCACAGGCTGCATCCATGGGTCTACAATGCATGAAACTTCCTTGTTGTTATTTTCCATCCATGGTAAATCTCACATCTAACGAAGGAGAAGGTGACTTCTAGCCTATTTTTGCCTTTTTTGTGTGTCTTATTACAGCAATTGGCAGAATAACCTAAACCATTTCCTAATCATCCTTACTGTCTTTACCAATTGTATGTTTAAATCAGTGATCCAAATACGTGCATTGTTCTTACAAAAATGATCTTCATTATGATCTACAAGTAAATTGGCCACTGAGGCATGGAATTTTCCCACAAACCAATCGCACTCTACTATTTACAGTGGGATACTTTCACATAGTACCCATACCATGGCAAATACAGCAGGAACACAATAGCAGCAAGCAGGTTAAAGCACAACCAAAGCAAGGGGCACTCTGGAAACAATCCCCCTGGGACTTTGCCTCTAGGGTGTACTCATCATAGCTTTGCTATCTGGTGGGTCGTATTCCATAAGCTCCATTGCTGACTGGGGCACCTCTGACATGGCCACCAACAATCTATAGCCTGAAGCTTACCCGAGAGGTGAGCTCAAAGGCCTGAGAGCTGGAAAGCACAAGGGTGCATCCTAGTCTTGGCTTCAAGGTCTGCACTAGGAGCTACTAGTGCAGAGGCAGATTGATGGCTCAATTCAAAAGCAGTCAAGCCAGACATGGTGGGGCTTATAAAGCACAGAAAGGGAGACAAAACAGTAGGAAAATAATCCTCAACCAAAAAATAACAGGTTATTTTAGGTTACCCTTTCTTGTGACAGGATTAAGGCAGAGGAATCTTGGTTACAACACCATTTGAAATGGCCTCTGGGATTTTGCTGTAAAATTTCTCTAGAAAGTCAGATAAACAGTTTAGTTTCCCCTTGGTAAAATGGAAGTCTAGTGTGACTCCATTTTTAATTTCTTTTTCTGAGACAGGGTCTTACTATGTATCCTTTGTAGACCTGGAACTTCCTGTGTAGACCAGACTGGTCTCAATTCACAGAGGTCTATCTGCCTCTGTTTCCCAAGTGCTGGGATTGAGGAGCCATCACACCCAGCTTCTCCATCTTGATTTTATGTTGGTCCAGTGGTATCTAATGCAGAAACCTAATCCGAAAGAGTAGGTTCTCTAATTCCACATAAACTAGATGTTGAGGTACAGGCTATAATACTGGCACTTGGTAGGTGGCCACTGGAAGATCATAGTTCAAGGCCACATATATAGCATTTCAAGACCAGCCTAGGTTATTAAGATCCTTTCTCAAAACAAAACAAAAAGGCAGTCAGCAGAGAGCACTGTTAGCCATTTACTCTTTTGTTCTATCCAGAATCTCCACAGTGGCTGACACTCTCATAAAAGAAAACCATTTGTTTTGCTTAGTCTCTGAGTGCAGGTGTGTCAAACAAACTTGTTTAGTGGAGTGAAACTATGTGGCTTGTTAGCTCCCATAAACAATAGCCTCCAGCACTCCAGGAGTGCTCTCTCCTTGGGCAATGGACTTGCAGATCACAGGCATTTCTGTTTCATGGCTCTCTAAGGCATAGTATTGAAACTTAAATGTAACTTTGACTTTCACAGCATCTCAACCAAGTGAGGGAAAAGGACAGGAAATTCTATAAAATATGTGATAAGGGCAATGTTTGATGGTAAGCATGATCCTAATAGGTCTTATCAATAAAAGCCCGGAGTCAGATATTGAGGTAAGTGATGAAAGATCAGAGAAGCAAAGTAGCCATTGTCACTTCTTAACCTCTCCAAATCCTCAGAACAAAGGGACCAAGATCCTGTCTATGCCTTGCCTTATCATTCCCTGTCTCTGCCCCATGTTGTCACTTCCTATTTCCTCTCTGTATTGACCTAGTGGCTAGCTCTCCCCTCTGATCTCCAGGCAAGCTTTGTCAGAACACAAACAAAATACCACAACAAAAGGGGAGTTGGATTTAGCATTCAAACTTTTACAGGAACATATTCTCAATATATTAAATGTAAAAATTAGCATAATTGGAGCTGGGGATACAGCTCAACAGTAAACTGCTTACCTAGCATGCACGAGGCCACACATTTAGCTCTTGATACTGCAAAGCAGGAAAGCATCATAAAAGTTCATTATAGAGAAATCCTTTCAGCATGCAGAATGAATGGAAGCTCTTTTAACTGCAAAACAAAACCAGACGTCTGAAGGAACACAAGTTATTAAACTTGTGTTAGACTACATTTAAACATTTCTTTGTGATGAAACTCACAAACATAAGACAAAGTCCAGATCTGAACTGCTCATAAGTCTGGCCTTCGTGAACAAAACATTTAGTCTGCTATACTCCTATTCTTCATATTTAAAAGTTCATATAACTCTGAAAAGAAAACCAGAGGGTCATTGGCCTATGTTAGGAATTTTCAATAAAAATTTAATATAGTATGATACTTTGCTTTCTATTTTTTTTGTGTGTGTGTGATAAACACCATGACTGACAACAACTTGGGAAGGGGAGGATTTGTTTCATTTGGCTCATTAAGAGAAGCCAGGTCAGAAACCAAAAATATTGAAACAAAGGCCATGAAGGTGTGCTGCTTACTGGCTTGCTCCCTATGGCTTGCTCAGCTTGCTTTCTCATAGAATCCAGGAACACCAGTTCAGGGGTGCCATTACTGACAATGATCTGGGCTCTCCCAGATCAATAGTTCATCAAGAAAATACCTTCACAAACTTGCCTATGTACTAATCTGACTCAGGCTTTTGTCAAGATGACAAAAAATAACCAGTACATAGAAATAATTCAGTAATTAAGTAAATGCTACCTGAGTATTTCTACACAGTTGAGGAGGTAAGGGCTTGAACTCATTGCTGCAACAGATTAAAGAGGAATTTTAAATCACAAAAACTAGCCAGGCATTAGTGGTGCATACCTTTAGGCATATCTCTATGAGTTCAAAGCCAACCTTGTCTACAGAGTGAGTTCCAGGATAGGATCCAAAGCAATACAGAGAAACCCTATCTCAAAAAACAAAAAACAAAACAAAACAACAACAAAAACTCAAACAAGCAAACCTACAAAAACTGAAAATTAGAGCTAGAACTATCATAATAAATGGCCTAATAAAGGGGTTGTTCATGTACCCCAAGTGCTCCCAAAACCTGTCTAGCCTGATGGGCCCTATCTGGCTTGTGATTCTATTCTTTTTTAGTTGTCTGGAATTTTCCTTTATGACAGCTGATAAATACATGTAGAAACAATATCCCTTCAGTAACATAGCATAGATCCTTCCCTTCTACCATAATGAGACCTAATCCCCATCTGTTTTGTAATACCATAGTTACTAGGGAGTCCAACAGAGTCTGGAGTTTTGTTCTCTCTCTCTCTCTCTCTCTCTCTCTCTCTCTCTCTCTCTCCCTCCCTTTCTTCCTCCCTCCATACCTTCCTTCTTCCTTTATTTCCTACTTAAAAAATGTGCTGGAAAGTGGTGGCACATGCCTTGGGAGGAAGAATCAGATCTCTGTGAGTTCGAGACAAGCCTGGTCTACAGCTAGGGCTACACAGAGAATCTCTCTCTCTCTCTCTCTCTCTCTCTATATATATATATATATACATGTGTGTGTGTGTGTGTGCATGTGTGTGTGTGTGTGCGCGCACGCGCTATATATATGTATATATACATGTATACATATATACATATATATTTCATCTATTTCATCTGCATGTTTGTCTGCACACCAAAAGAGGGCAACATACCCCATGTGGACTATAGTTGTAGAGAATTGTGAACCACCATGCAGGTGCTGGGAATTTAACCTAGGACCTCTAGAAGAGGAACCAGTGTTTTTAACTATTGAGCCATATCTTCAACCCTAAGTCTAGAGTTTTTTAATGCTATCTTGTACCGTGTCAGATTAGCCTGGTTGATTTCCTGAATGAGTTGGTTATGTTGGACTTGGAGTTCAAAGGCCATTTCTCCCAGGCTCACAGCCCCTGCCACAGTTACTTACAATGCCATCCCTTTTGGTTTGGAATGGGCTGGGCTGGTGGTTTATTTTAAAAAGAATCAGTAGGAGTGGAAGTGAGAAATAATGGGGAGTAGCAGTGAATAGGACCAAAATATATACATGTAAGAAAATTTCATAATGAAACCATTATTAAGTGGAATTAATATATGCTAATAAAGCATTTAAAATGTTATCTGTCATTTATAATCCTAATTACTGGTTTACACTAGGTATTATTAATTATTTGGGTAAATCCTTATGCTCTTTTATCCTTATAAATGCATAATTTTGTGACAAAATAGAATCATTTTTTAGTCTTTTTTCTCCATTGATAGTCCTCAGAATCAAAGAGATGATATAAGTCACCTTTGGCAAACAGCTAATATGTGGGGACCAGGTCCTTTGTCCCTCATTTTCAGATCACTAAAGCTTGACTGGTTTTACCAATTCCTGCTGCTATCACACAACCATGCCAACCAACAACATGGCATTTAACCATTTGCCAAGGGATGAAGACATCTCACCCCAAAATAAGTCCTCTTTCTGAATACAATTAGAGACAAAGTGTTATAGAATTCTGTAAGTGAAAGCAAGCCAGGTGTGATGGTGCATGTCTATAATCATAGCATGTAGGTGACAGAAGCAGGTGGGCCTCTGGGAGTTCAAAGCCAACCTGGTCTACATAATCAGTTCTAGGTGTTACACAGTGAGACCCTGTCTCAAAAAAAAAAAAAAAAAAAAAAAAAAAAAAAAAAAAGTAATTTATCCATGTGCTAAAGCTGGTTTTTGATTGATATTCTTAATGTTTCTGTTTCTAGCTTGAGCAGTTTCGGACCCTGCTTGTCACTTCTGAGGGAGAGAAAGAGAAAAAAATGGTGGACAACTTCCGCCCACTTCAGCCACTGATGAACCGTACTGTCCGCTCATCCTTCCGTCATGATTATGTGCTCAATATACAAGTGAAGTCCAAGCCAGCAGCCAGCCAAGTCACCCCTTAAAATGTTCATATATAGGCAGCAGATTGCTTTAATGCATTTGCTTCAAATCTTAACTAGATTATTTTATAATGCTACATTTAATAATTCTTATATGTATACATTTATGATTTTTTCTTTCATTTTTATAACATTTCAAAATTTTTATCCTTGTAAAACAAAGACTTGAAGACAAAACAAAAACCCATAACCACATATCATCAGGATACTTTAGGTTACTTTTTCTTGTGACAGTATTAAGGAAGAGGAGTCTTCATTATGCCAATTGAAATGACCTGTTTGGGATTACGCTGTTAAATTTCTCTAATCTCTGCATCTCAGAAAGTCAGAGAAAGTTTAGTTTCTGCTTGATTAAATGGAAGTTTAATGTAAGTGACACATCTGATTTTTCGGTTTGGGCCTAATACAGGAGCTTAACCAACAACAAGAGGTTCTTGTGAATTTTATTTAATGATGTCACCCTTTTGTTCAAACTGTTAAATTGTCTCATTTTACAGTATTGGTCCGACTCTTAGCTACCATCATTTGGAGCTACTGATCTCAAAATGGCATTCAAAGGTTATGTGTGCATTTATTGGTTTCAGAGTAGTTCATCTGTCTTTTTTTTTTAAGATAAGGTTTCTCTGAGTACCCCTAGCTCACTATGTAGACCAGTCTAGCCTTGAACTCATAGAGATCTGCCTGCCTTTGCCTCCCAAATGCTGGAATTAAATGCCTGTTTCATCATGTGTGGCTTTCATTTGTCTTACCAAATGCATTTGCTCTTTGACTGATAATAGTATGGGTCTTTGGAGTGCCAGCAGGACATGCAAATTATGTGTTCTTATATCTGACAGTGTGTGTGTGTGTGTGTGTGTGTGTGTGTGTGTGTGTGTGTGTGTGTGTGTATGTGTGTGTGGTTGTGTTGTGTTGTGTTTTGAGGCAGGCTCTCACTCTGTAGTGAAGCCTAGCCTGGAACTCAACATGTAATCCTCTTGTCTCAGTCTCTCAAGTGCTAGGATTTTAGCTATAAGGTACCACACTATACTAGTATATTTGACACATTTGGTTATCATTGTAATTTTTTGAAACAAGGTAACATGCATGTATCCCAGTCTAGACTAGAATTTTCTATGTAGTTGCAGCTGGTCTTAAACTTCTGATTCTCCTTCCTTCCCTAACTGCTGGGATTGTAAGTGTGTGCCAATTCACTCAGCTTTAGCCATCTTTTAATATGTATAGTTCTGTAGAATTTTATGTAGGAATTATAGTCAAAATGTTAACATCTTCCAAAGGCATAGTCCCTGACCACATAAAGCCCAGGCTTCTCAGAAAACATCTCTATGGGCCCAGACTGGTTAACTCCTCTGGAATATTGGCCATAGTTTTAGGTATAGTTTATTTCAAAACTTGGGTGTGAATTTTTGTATTCAGATTTCTCAATGAGTATGTTTGTACTGATCTTTAGCTACTATTACTAGCATATGATATGTATAAATATTATCAATTTACTATTGAAAGACACCCAAGAGGCCCCAAGAGTTTGGAGCCTGTCAGGGGGAAGGCCCTTGCCCCCAAGAGATGAGACCAGACCACTGGATGCAAGTGCAAGAGGTTGTTTATTGTTTACACAGGTACCTGTGGACGCTTCAGTCTTTCGGGGGACTGAGCGGGCCGAGGTTAAAACTCAGGCAGTTTATATAGGGTTGGGGTGGCAAGAAGCAGGCTTACAGAAACAGAAGCATGGTTACAGGGATTTCATTGTTTCATTTAAATGTAGCAGTTGTAGTTAACCAAGGACAGTTGGTTATTTGGGTTGGGCACAAAGAATACAAAGAATTCAGTTATGACTATCTCAGCATACTGAACACTGTCCTGCTGACCTTGCTTTGGTCCAAGCTGCAGACCACAGATACCTGGTTGGCGTTGGATGAGAGCAGCACCTGGTTGCCTCCTGTACTTTTCTCATAACTTGACCTTGGCAAATTAGCAAGAGCAATTTAAACAGGCAATAAGCATAGTGGGGGGGGGTCTTTCACTATATAGACAATACATTTTGTAATAATGGGCTGGTGAGATGGCTCAGTGAGTAAAGACACTTGCCTTGAAAATCTGATGACCTGAGTTTGATTCCCAGAACCTACAAAAAGGTGGAAGAAAACTAACCCCACAAAGTTGTCTGACCAAGCATGCTCCATAGCATACACACAACCCCATACACATCATAGATGCATACAATAATAAAACATTAAAAGAATAAAAAATATATTTTGTAATCACAAGAAAACAAGGACTTTTATTATATCTAGAATTTCTTTTGCATTTTTGAAGGTCAGGTATTTTACCAAAAGGCTTGGGATTGTATAGAAAGATGTCTTAGTTAGAGTTTCTATTGCTGTGATAACCAAAAGGCAAGTTGGGGAAGAAAGGGTTTATTCAGCTTAAATTTTCACATTGCTATTCTTCACCAAAGGAAGTCAGGACAGGAACTCAAACAGGGCAGGAACCGGGAGGCAGGAGCTGATGTAGAGGTCATGGAGGAATGGTGCTTACTGGCTTGCTTCCCCTTGGCTTGCTCAGCCTGCTTTCTTATAGAACCCCGGACCACCAGCCCAGGGGTGGCATCATCCAAAATGGGCTGGGCCCTCCCCCATTGATCACTAATTAAGAAAATGCCTTATAGCTGGATCTTTTGGAGGCATTTTCTCAGTTGAGACTCCTTCCTTTCAGATTACTATAGCTTGTGTTAGGTTGACATAAAACTAGCCAGGACAAAGCATATTCAGAAAGTTCTAATGATTGAAATGCTAGAGTATAGAATTCTTTTGTGCTCAATTTACAGAAATATGTCTCAGAGGACTAATTATTTAGTTGTCTATCATTTGTAGTATTAGTGTACATTGTTTATACAATGTCACATAAAATATAATGATTCTTCCAACAATAATTAAGGTGTCCTACCTTCTCATTAATATTTTCTTCTTTTAATTTTAAAATTATTTTTCTTTTATGTGTTATGGGTATTTGCCTACATGTATGTCTGTGCTCCACATGCATGCCAGATGCCCAAGAAGGCCAAAGAGGGTTTTGGATCTCCTAAAATTGGAGTTACAGATGGTATCAGCCATCTTATGGGTTCTTCTGCAAGAGTATCAAGTTCTCTAAACTTCTGAGTCATCTCTCCTTCCTCCTTTAACACTTTATAAAATCTGTTTATTAGCTGAGGTATGTGTGTGAGTGTGTGGGTGGGTGAGTGGGTGCTGCCAAGGTTCTTTATAAGGGCAGATGCCTGATTTAAACCTCCCGATTTATACAGTGATATAGAGGACTTTTATTATAGTAACACGGGAATAAAGTTGTCAGTCTGAAATCTAGATGATTCTTTATATTATTTTTAAACTATTATCATTATTATTATTATTATTATTATTATTATTATTATTATTTTACATATGGATCCCAGTTCCATCTCCTTCCCACGCCCCCACCACCACCTTCCCATCCCTTCCAGGAGGGATCAACAAAATCTGTCAAGTCATTTGGAGTAGGGTCTAGACCCACCCCTGCCTCTAGGCTAAGGGAGTATCCCTCCATGGGGAATGTGCCCCCAAAGTCCTTTTGTGCACCAGGGATACATCCTGATTCCACTGTCAGAGGTCCCTTAGACTGCCCAGGCCTCCTAACTGAGAAGAATCCACAACGCTGTTGCTCTTGACCAGGTGGTGGTGGTGCAGGCCTTTAATTCCAGCACTCTGGAGGCAGACACTCGTAAATATCTGTGCATTTGAGGCCAGGCTGGTCTACAGAGCTAGTTCCAGAACAGCCAAGACTGTTACACAGAGAAACCTTGTCTTGAAAAACAAAAACAAACAAACAAAAAACCCACTGTTGCTCTTTGTAGATATCTTACAATGTTTCTGGTTGTCTCCAAATTGTGTTTCAAATATGATAAGTATTTTCCTTAGTCTGCAAAAGAAGGTGGAAATAACATAAACTTGCAATTTTTGTTCATCACAAAACGAGTCAACAAAATGAAAAGGCAAACTATAAAATGGGAAAAGGCAATTGCAAATCACATATATAATAGGGGATTAATATCCATAATACACTAAAGAACTTCAATAACTCGGAAAAAATCCAATAGCCCAATTTTAAAATGAGCAAAGAACTTAAACAGATAATTCTCTACAGTAGGTACACAGAGGGCCAGTAAACACATGAAAAACTATTCAACAACACAAAGTATTAGGAGAATGCAGAGCAAAACAAAATGAGCTATCACAGCATGCCCATCATGATAGCAACTATCAGATGAGAACAAAATACCAAGTGTTGTGAGGATACAGAGAATTTTCAATATATATCCACTAAATCCAGAATTATATGATCCAGAAATCCCATCTCTGGGTAGATAAGCAGAAGAATTCAAAGCAGGATCTCAGAGAGATAATTGTGCACCCTTTATCATATCAGTATTTCCAGTACCTAAGAGGTGGAAGAACCTAATGTCAATGTACAAATAAATTGATAAAGGGAACGTGGTACAGTGGAATATTAGCTTTGAAGAAAACCCAGCTGCACACACAGTGTGCATTAAACCAGAAGGCATCATGCTAAGTGAAATAAGCCAGTTCCAAAAGAACACACACTGTATGATTCCACTGGTACAATGGGGCTAAAGTCATCAAAATCATAGAAATAGACATTAGAAAGATTGTTGCCAAGGATAGCGGATAGAGGGAGGCAGAATCCTTTTTAGTAGTATAAATGCTTAATCTTGTCAACTTGTTTTAATTCTGAGGCCCAGAGGAGTTTACACTGAAAGACCTTAGATAAATAACCCCGAGATGGACCAACACCCGAACAAAACATTTTGTGGTTTTTCTTGGAACATAAACCCTCATCCCAGTTTGACCTTATACCAGTTTGACCTTATGCTAATGAAAGAATGTCAATATAGCCAATCATGTTATGCCTAATGTATCTTTGATAATTTGTGGTTTTGTCCTATAAAAGGAGCCTTGATGCTTTGTTCGGCAGGCAACCTTCCCTGGAGTACCCCTATTCTACTGGCTGGGAAGACATGGGGCCATCACCATCATCCCCGATGGCTACCCAGCTCCGTATCCGAAGGGAGCTAAGGGATGACACCGGGGATACTGGCCACTGGTCTTCCCAACTTTTCCCCCTTTGATCAGTGGGTGACCAGATGCAATATTGGCCCCTTTCAGCATCAGACCTTTATAACTGGAAGACCCACAATCCTCCCTTTTCCCAAGACCCTCAAGCCCTTACCGGGCTCATAGAGTCCATTTTACTAACCCATCAACCCACTTGGGATGATTGTCAGCAACTTTTAGAGACCCTCCTCACCACAGAAGAAAAGCCGGCTAAGGAGGGGCACTGTCACGGGTTGGGTGGGCAGGCAGTGATGTGAGGAGAGCTTTAAAGTGTGGGCTGGGCCTGTTGTCTCAGGGCTGACCCAGAGTCTGGCGGAGTCTTCACAGAAAGCTTCCATAGCATGAGGCGCTGCCAGTGCCCTTGTTCCTCGGGACGTGGAGAAGGTGGAGGAAGAAGCCTCACTGTTGCTTGTGCTGCATGACTGACTGCTGCTGAGGTTCGACCCCTTCCTGGCCCCTCTATGCCCCCTGCTGATTCCTTGGGCCAGGCATAATGACCTGGCGCTGAGGACCCCCACTTCCCTCTCTGCCCCTGGGCGTGTTCCCTAAGAGCCATGCCAGGCCCCC